CGAGGTGATGGGCCACTACCCCGGCTCGGCGTTCTTTCTACACCAGCACAGCAATAACCAGAGGGTGGGGGGGCCGGGGAGTAGGACGATCCAGCAGCAGAGCCAATCAGAAAGCACAATAGTACCTGCCAAGGCCAAGGACGGCCAACCGGAGGACCTGGTGTGAAGAGAAGGGTCGGGGGCAGGTGGGGGCCTCCCACCCCTGACTGAAAGCTGTCTCTCTATCGCGCTCTCTCTCTCTCCGTCTCTCTCATGTCCGCTCTCCACACTCCCATGCACAACTAAATATCAACCATAGCTACAACAAAACAAGGAAAAAGGAACCAAGAGTTGATTTCCTTTCAGTGTTTTTTCCAATGTAAGTCATCCGAACAGCTGGCACTGCTGGGGCAGGATGTATGCACTGCATGGAGAGCTTTTTTAGAAAGAAACTGCTAGCACAGATTGAAACAATTTGAGCTTTTTTTTTTCTTTTCGTCCCCTCGAGCGACAGCTCTGTCCCCGTGGAACTAAGGATGATGTTTATTTCATATATTTTTTTATTTTTTCTGGACCGGGATCTGTGCACAAAGCGAGAACTGAGAATCAAGGACTTACAGAGAAAACGACAAAACAAGAGACTCACAAACCCAAATCTTAGTGCCAAGGTCCACGAGGAAGCAAAGTGTGCGGGGTGGGGGGGAGTGGTGTGTGACTCCTAACATTCAAAACACACACAAAAAAAAGAAAAGTTACCTAAAAGTTGCACTATCTTTTTGTTGTAAAAGAGAAGAGGGAAATGATGCTATGTGATGATAATGATGTGTCCTTTTTTTTCTTTTCTTTTTTTTTTTCGTCCTTTTCATGAATGGATCGACTGACTGAACTTTGCCTCCAAAGTCATTTAAACTGTTGGGAGCAAAAAACAAAACCAACAACAAGTATTATAAGCTTATGTCCTTCCGTTTTTTGAAAACGGCAAGAAATACTCGTACCCAGCCTACAACTCTGTCTGCTTACACCACAGGCACAGTGAGACTTAGTAAGAGAACAACCTTGTACCGCTCACGTCCAAGGAAGAACTGCCCGGTGACCAGCCGCTGGGTGGACGGGACATTTCCTACTTCCTCTGGTGGTTTGTTACAAGATTTGGAGATGTGTTTTTCCAAACCAGAGTAGTTCCTAAGCTCAACTGCTTGGAGAGATCCGACACGCTCCGTGCTAACGAATCAAGTTAACCAAGAATAACATAACTCAATAAAAATAATCATTTCAAAGAACATATCTTAAGTGTCCATCCAGCAGCGCGGTCACAGCAGATCCTTCAACTCTGTCCCCCGACCTCTGAGCACCTTGACACTTCCTCTTTCCTGCGTCCCCCGTCCCCCCCCATATCTTCTCCCACCGCTCATCTCTACATGCACAGTTCATTCTGCCAACAGCCACACTGAACACGAACCCCCTGCCGCCATGACAACGAAACAAAAAACGGAAGGATCGGCTCTCCGTCTTCACATTTCTAAAGACACACACACACGCATAAAACATACAAATAAAACCGACACAAAGGGAAGATTCCTGTCTGCATCCGCCAGCACAGCGATCAGGTCCTAGATGAGGAACTGTCTGGTCGAAGTCAAAGGGCTATGGGATGGGTCCTTCTTTTGTAAAAGAAAAAAAACCCTTTTTGAAAATTGAGCCTTTTTTCTCTGCTCATCGTTGCCTTCTCCTCTGCTCTTGCGCTTTTCTCTGTCTCCCCTTGTAAGCATTCGACACCAGTGCCCCCCCACACCCCTCCCCCTCCTCCCACCCCATCCCAAGCTTGTTAACAGTGTCTCTGCTAAACACTGTTCGTCACCCCCATCCCCCCATCCGCGTGCAGAAAAAGTTGCGTTCAAAAGATGTAGAGTCCGCCAAGCCCTTTAAAGTGGAGCCCGGAGTGGAGCCCTTGTCTGGCAGTGTGCTAGTTTCCTCGCTGTGTGTTTGTTGGTTTGACCTTTTAACAACACTGAAAAGCTCTTTATGTTCCTGCTGGAGCTGTGTGTGTGTGTGTGTGTGTGTGTGTGTGTGTGTGTGTGAGTGAGAGAGAGGTTTATTAATCGACTGCTTTGTCTGAGTTTAGAGATTCAAGGACAGATTTGATATTTGGCACCGCCCATATTATCACATCATTAATTAAGCTTTCGTCCAAGCCAGAGGTGCATGATGGTTATTGTCGTGGTGCACAGTCCACTCCACAACACCAGGAAGACTCATAACATTAAAACAAAGATGGTGTTGAGACGGCTCACGGAAGGGAAAATAAAATGTAAAGTACTAAATCTTAAATTAGCTTTCTCTTCAATGAGGTTAGAACATAAGTCTGGTGTTCATGTGTTTCTTAGTGCCAACAAATCCCACAAAAAAACCTGCAGTGTGTTTCTTGGTCTCAATGTCACAAAAGAGTCCTTGACTCATCGTCCACTTGCTTGTTTTTTTTCTTTCTGAAGCTTTGTGGCAGTGGGCCAGGGGCTATCTTTAC